ATAAATGAACAAGCCAATATATAGACAGTCAGGTGCTGATTAATGCTAAGAAGAAAAATAAAGGAGGGTGAGGGGATTGGGGAAAAGAAGGAGTGCTGCTGTTTTATTTAGGGTGGTTAGAGAAGGCCTTAATAGTAAGGTGGCGTCTGAGGAGAGACTTGAAGGAAGTGAGGGAGCGTGCTAGGTGGATTGGGATGCAGACTGGCGGAGACAAGTGTGTGCAGGGGCCCTGAGGCAGGGACATGTTTGCCATGCATGAGAAATAACAAGGTCACCAGCCTGGCTGGAGCACAGTGAGTAGATCAGGAGGGAGGGAGAGAGATATGGGCAGGAAACGGGGTGAGAGGATGTGGTGAGCGGAGGTGAGGGACGGTTAAGAAGAATCCTGCAGGACCTTGTAGGTAATTGAAAGGGCTTTATCTCTTAGTGGAGAGAGAGACAGGAATCCTTTGAGGGTTTTGACCAGAGGAGTTACATGGTTTGAAACACATCATTGTTAAAGGATTTACAATGGACCAAGTTGCCCTCTGTGAAGATACTCCTGGTTAGTAGTATTTCTACTTCAAACCACAGACTGAGTCTTGCTTTGAGGACTACCAAGGGGCCTTTAAAAAAGATTTTTCCTCAGATGTATTGGGATATGATTGACAAATAAAAATTCTATATACATTTACGATGTTCAACATGGTTTGATGTATGTATACATTGTGAAATGATTACTATTATCAAGCTAATTAACCCATTTGTCATGGCACATAGTTATCTGTGTGTGTGTGTGGTGAGAGTACTACAGATCTACTGTCTTAGCAAATTCCAAGTATACAGTACAGCATTATTAACCACAGTCACCATGCCGTATGTTAGATCCCCAGAACTTACTCATCTTATAACTGAATGTTTATATTCTTTGACTAACATCTCCCGATTGTCCCAGACCATGGCAACCACCATTACACTCTCTGCTTCTGTGAGTTCGACTTTTTTAGGTTCCACATATAGATCAGATTCACACAGAAGTACAGTATTTGTCTTTCGGTATCTTGCTTCTTCCACTCAGCATAAGGTTCATCCCTGTTGTCTCAGATAGTAGGATTTCCTGCTTCTTATGGCTGAATAATATCCCATTGCATATATGTACCACATTTTCTTTGTTCATTCATCAGTCAACAGACATTTAGGTTGTTGCCATGTACTGGTTGTCGTGAATAACACTGTAGTGAACATGGGAGTGCAGATATCTCTTTAACATGTTGATTTCATTTCCTTTGGATATATACCCAGAAGTAAGATTGCTGGATGATATGGTAATTATACTTTTAATTTTTTGAGAATTTCCCTATCATTTTCTACAATGGCCATATGAATTTACAATCCCACCAACACTGTGCAAGGGTTCTCTTTTCTTCATATTGTCCCAAACACTTGTTATCTTTTGCCTTTCTGACAATAGCCATTCTAATAGGTGTGAGGTAGTATCTCATGGTGGTTTTAATTTGTGTTCCCCTGATAATTAACGATGTTGAACACCTTTTCATATATCCATTGGCCATTTGAATGTCTTTTTTGAAAAATGTCTATTTAGGTCCTTTGCCCATTTGTAATTTTTTTTTTTTTGCTATTGAGTTGTGTGAGTTCTTTGTATATTTTGGATATTAACCTCATATCAGATGTTTGGTTTGCAAATATTTCCTTTCCTTCTGTTGGCTGCCTTTTCATTTGTTGATTGTTTCCTTTACTGACTGCAGAAGATTGTTAGTTTGATGTATTCCACTTGTTTACTTTTGCTTTTGTTGCCTGTACTTATGAGCTCTTTCTTCTGAAGTTTGTACAAGTGCTGTGGTGAAGCTGAATTTTAGTGAGTCATTCATTCATTTGAATCAGTGACTGAGCTCCACCTAAGTGCCAGGTACTGGCCTTGGCATTTGGGATAAAGGAGTGAGTGCTCCTCCTGTCAGGAGCTTCCTTACCGTGAAGAAACAGTTAACAAGCAAAGAAATAGAGGAGATTTCAGCTAATAAGGGTTAGGAAAAAATAAAACAGAGGAGACAAAATGATGATGCCATTGCAGGGGCTACTTTTAAGATTCCAGTTGGATTTTGAAAAGTAGAACTTAGGCTAATGTTGTTACACATGTAGAGCAATTTACAGTTTACAAATTGAGGCCAGGTGCAGCAGCTCACGCCTGTAATCCTAGCACTTTGGGAGGCTGAGGCGGACAGATCACTTGAGGTCAGGAGTTCGAGACCAGCCATGGCCAACGTGGCAAAACCCCGTCTCTACTAAAAATACAAAAATTAGCCGTGCATGGTGGCGGTTGCCTGTAATCCCAGCAATTTGGGAGGCTGAGGCAGGAGAATCACTTGAACCCGGGAGGCAGAGGTTGTAGTAAGCTGAGACCACACTGCTGCACCTTCCAGCCTGGGTGACAGAACAAGACTCTGCTAAAAAAAAAATAAACAAAATAAAATAAAATAAAATAAAATAAATGCTAGCAAGAAAGATATTATTATCCTGACTTTTCAGATGAGAAACTGGAGGTCCACTGAAATTAAGCCACATGCCCAAGGCACTAGTAAATGGCAGATCTGGGGTCTGAATACAAGTTTTCTCTAATTGTCAGTACCAAAGTTTTTCTCACAGTACGCAATACTTTGGAATGTACAGGTAGAGATGGGTAACACTGGGGTCTGGGATAAGGAAATTAGCCATAATTAGGCAAGAAAGGCAGGAAGCACATGCCAAAACATAAACAGAACACAAAAAAGCAAGGAGGGTAACTAACTCCCCCTAAGGTCGTGCAAAACAACTGGTAAGATATAGAGGGGCCTGGCTAGGTGGCTCACGCTGTAATCCCAGCATTTTGGGAGGCCAAGGTGGGCAGATCACTTGAGGTCAGGAATTTGAGACCTGCCTGGCCAATATGGCAAAACCCCATCTCTACCAAAAGTACAAAAAATTAGCCAGGGCTGGTGGTGCACGCCTGTAATCCCAGCTACTCTGGAGGCTGAGGGAGGTGAATCACTTGAACCTGGGAGGCGGAGGTTCTAGTGAGCCAAGATCCTGCCACTGCACTCCAGCCTGGGCGACAGGGTGAGACTCTGTTTAAAAATAAAATAAAATAAAATAAAAAATATATATATATATACACACACACACACACACACACACACACATATATATGGAGAGAGAGAGAGAGAGAGAGAGAGAGAGAGAGAGAGAGAGAGAGGGAGAGAGAGAGCCTCCAGTCCCACAGCCCCACTTCACAGGGCTGAGATAATCTGCACCCTGATCAGAAGAGAAGGCCTCCTGCCTTGAACGGTTGTTCTTAGCAACTTGGGCTGGGGGGAGCTTTGGGTCACATGTGGTTTCAATCACTGCCTTTATCTGCATCATTATCACTGTATTTGGAAGACGACTGAATCCTCATTCCTATCCCAGGCCTCTCTACATTGTGCAGGGCGTACAAGTCAAATCTGGAAAAGCTGTCTCATCTTTGGCAGGTCAGAAATAGGGAGAGGCTTCAGGAATGTACAGTAATGTCCTACCCATGCCCCTTCCCCGCTTTATTAAAACAAATCTGAAACAACAGAAGTCTGAAACTTTCCACACTGTATCATTTCACACTGCCTTGTCATAACCCTGCCCTTCATCCACACCCCGCTGGAGTTTTTGCAGCCTGAGGGAAGCCGGGAAGTGTCTGCTCCTAGCTTTCAGTCACTCCCATAATAAACAATCACTAAACAGCCGGCTGCCCTAGGCAACTGTCCAGCTTGCCTGAGCCCTGAGACTTTAGCTAGGCCAGAGGGTGGGAGGTGTTCTTTGTAAAGCAGTGTTCGGGATTTGAGACCAGGGAGTTTGACTTTGACCAGAGATACTGTTTGCGAGCCTAGTACATCTTTTGTGGACCTGGAAGATCTTTAGTGGGACTGCTAGTCGGTTACCTGAGTTATCCAAGGAAGTTCTTCCATTGGGGGTGGCAGGAGCTTGGGCCAAGGAGTGGGAGGTCAATGAGGGAAGGACCAACTGTTTGGCACTAATTGTAAATAAGGTCGTTTTCCTGATGCAAGTTTCCCTTCTATAGCTGGGACAGTTGGCAGTTCTACCAGTCTTATGTCCTTAAGAGATATCTTGAAAGCCGCCGCCACCACCACCACCACCACCACCAAGAGAATAACATCACTTTGAGGGCTGGGGCAAGCTTAAATTAACTGGTTTCTCTGCAGCCATTAGAAAATTTCTTTTTTTTCTGTGAACAGATCTCTTGGAAGCCTTCTTCATAATAGACAGAGGGGGTTCATTCAGGCAAGGCTGCCTAAGTAGATAATGAGGATTTAGGATAGCTGTCTTATATTCTTAGCACAGAGGCAGGCATGAAGAATTGCAACAATTCCTCTTGATTGTAATAATTCCTCTTTATTGTTGGGGTTTAGGGTGTTTCCTTGGTTTTAAAAAAAGATGTGCTATGTAGGGGAGGAGTAACGGGATACTGTTTTAATACTTAGCAGAGAACTGAAATATTGGATCTTGGATTGTGGAAGGAGTGCTGGGAGAGGCAGCTTTCGGATCGGCTGTCGCTTTCTATGAAGTCTTCCTTTCCTCCATGCTTCCCTCTTTCAAAGCATCTTTCTCGAGGCGTTCCGGCAGGCAGCCCAGGAGACCGGATTCTCCAGGGCGCCCGGGGCCGCGCGCACGGGGCCCCTGCCGGTGCCTCCTTCCCCGGCCGCCGCGTTTCCGCAGGCGCCTCTGGTCCCCGGCACGGCGCAGGCCGAGATCCGGGCCTGGGCGCGCCGAGGGGCCGTGGGGCTCGCACCGGGCCGCCCCGCGCTCCACCTGCCCGGCAGCCCGCCGGCCGCACGCAACCTGGCAACCTCAGCTCTCCGCGCCCCCAGCGCCCCCAACGCCGCGCCGGCGCCTCGGCCCGCGGCCGGGGGTTATGAATGGGCGCAGCGGAAGCACCGCCCCCCCCGGACGTGACGCTCGGCCAATGGCAGCGCGGGCTGCGTGGATGGATGAGGTCAGCGCTGTCGTGTCGGGAATGGAATGTGTAAGTGTAACATTCAGAACCGGGTAACATTCGGCGACCGAACGCGGCGGTCGGCAGCGGTCGCGCGGGGGCCTGCGAAGCGCCGCTCTGGGCCGGCACTGCCCGCGGGGAGGACGCGCCGCCGCCGCCACCCAGCGCCGCCGCCACCGCCGCCTCCAGCCGGGCCGCCGCGCGTCCCGGGGGCCGGCCCCGCGAGCGCAGGAGTAAACACCGCCGGAGTCTTGGAGCCGCTGCAGAAGGGAATAAAGAGAGATGCAGGGATTTGTGAGGTTACGGCGCCCCAGCTGCAAGATGCACTAGCCGGCTGAACCCGGGATCGACTGACTTGTTGGAACCGGAGTGCTCTGCACGGAGAGTGGTGGATGAGTTGAAGTTGCCTTCCCGGGGCTCATTTTCCACGCTGCCGAGAGGAATCCGAGAGGCAAGGCAATCACTTCGTCTTGCCATTGATTGGGTATCGGGAGCTTTTTTTTTTTCTCCCCTCTCTCTTTCTTTTCCTCCGTCTTGTTGCATGCAAGAAAATTACAGTCCGCTGCTCGCCCGCCCTGGGTGCGAGATATTCAGCCCCGCTCTCTCCCGTGCATTGTGCAACCCAAAGATGAAAGACCGAAGGGGAGAAAGTTAAAGAAATCGCCCACATGCGCTGGATCAGTCCACGGCTTGGGGAAAGGCATCCAGAGAAGGTGGGAGCGGAGAGTTTGAAGTCTTTACAGGCGGGAAGATGGCGGACTGGAGCTGAAAGTGTTGATTGGGAAACTTGGGTGATTCTTGTGTTTATTTACAATCCTCTTGACCCAGGCAGGACACATGCAGGCCAAAAAACGCTATTTCATCCTGCTCTCAGCTGGCTCTTGTCTCGCCCTTTTGTTTTATTTCGGAGGCTTGCAGTTTAGGGCATCGAGGAGCCACAGCCGGAGAGAAGAGCACAGCAGTCGGAATGGCTTGCACCACCCCAGTCCGGATCATTTCTGGCCCCGCTTCCCGGACGCTCTGCGCCCCTTCGTTCCTTGGGATCAATTGGAAAACGAGGATTCTAGCGTGCACATTTCCCCCCGGCAGAAGCGAGATGCCAACTCGAGCATCTACAAAGGCAAGAAGTGCCGCATGGAGTCCTGCTTCGATTTCACCCTTTGCAAGAAAAACGGCTTCAAAGTCTACGTATACCCGCAGCAAAAAGGGGAGAAAATCGCCGAAAGTTACCAAAACATTCTAGCGGCCATCGAGGGCTCCAGGTTCTACACCTCGGACCCCAGCCAGGCGTGCCTCTTTGTCCTGAGTCTGGATACTTTAGACAGAGACCAGTTGTCACCTCAGTATGTGCACAATTTGAGATCCAAAGTGCAGAGTCTCCACTTGTGGAACAATGGTAGGAATCATTTAATTTTTAATTTATATTCCGGCACTTGGCCTGACTACACCGAGGACGTGGGGTTTGACATCGGCCAGGCGATGCTGGCCAAAGCCAGCATCAGTACTGAAAACTTCCGACCCAACTTTGATGTTTCTATTCCCCTATTTTCTAAGGATCATCCCAGGACAGGAGGGGAGAGGGGGTTTTTGAAGTTCAACACCATCCCTCCTCTCAGGAAGTACATGCTGGTATTCAAGGGGAAGAGGTACCTGACAGGGATAGGGTCAGACACCAGGAATGCCTTATATCACGTCCATAACGGGGAGGACGTTGTGCTCCTCACCACCTGCAAGCATGGCAAAGACTGGCAAAAGCACAAGGATTCTCGCTGTGACAGAGACAACACCGAGTATGAGAAGTAAGTGTCTGGGCTGGCGTGTCTTTGGGAGTCAGCCTTGGGCCCTACCGGCCTTGGTCCAGGTGTGGAGTTGGGGGATGGGGTGGGGGCGGATGAGCCCTCAGTCCTCTTTCCCCTGTGAGCCTGGAACTGAGCAAATCCGGCTCAGGTGTGCAGCTAGAGGCCGGGGACAGAGAGTTGGAGCTCCTCGGGCAAACCGAAAAGCCTGGAGCACCTTCCCGAGCCAAGTAGGTGACCGTATCTCCCTCTTGCTTAGGAAACCTGCAGGGCGGCGTGTCTCCTGTTAAGAGTCGAGGTTTGATCCAAGTTTAGTAACTGCACTTCAGGCACGGGTGCTGTGGTGTTTCTGAGGGTGTCTAGAGACCCGGAGAGGCTGTGATCTACCCAAAGTCCAGAGACCTTCCACCAGAGTGCTGCTTTTGTTTGCTTTTCTCATGAGCGGGGGTACCTACTTTCCCAGGAGTTTTCCCAACTTCACATTTTCTGTAACCCTGTAATTCATGTTAGCAGTAGAAGTGTTTAAATTTTATCGAACTTTGTGTGGCCCTTTCCTCTCTCCCCCATGGCATTGACTTTTACGAAGGGAGACTGTAAACTTGTTGGGCCTGTGGCTTTGCATGCATGCATTCATTCATTCATTCCTTCATTTCTGTACATGTCGTGTCTCTTTCCTAGGATAAACGGTTTTTTTTTTTTTAAATCTGGGCCTCAGTCCCACTGTCTAAACTCCAGTTGCTAATTTAGATTTCCCGTTCCCTTTTGTCTTTATCTATTTGCATATAAATTGTAGACAGTTACTCTTTGAATGGGTGTGAGATGCCTCCCTACCCTCTGTAGTGAGGCAAGTTTTGTCCAGTTGCTAAGTAACTGAATTGGTTACTTTGTAGACCTTTTCAGTCTTCCTTTTTCCTTCCCAGTGACAGTAACTGACAGGGGATTTGGAGTCAAAGCTAGATTCCACAAATCTGCTTTACCCTGAGCTTGGTGAGCCAGTTTCCTAGCAGGTGGGGTTGCCGCCCAGACTCTCACTTGTATCTGGCTCTGAAAGAGTTAGTGAGTTCCTACAGTGCATTTCCACGTTACGCCAGTTAAAAACCAGAGCAGCCTTGTGCTACCCAGGGAAGGAAGGGGAACCTCTCAGCTGAGTACAAGAGGAACTGGCAGAGGTTGGCAGATTTTGCAATTGATTCATGAAATGCAGAATAGGGGAAATGCTTCGCAAACCTGATTGGAACAGGAAGGGGTATGGTGGGAAACTGGCCTTGAAATGAAAGGTTTGATTGTTGTCTGTGCATTTTTTCAGACACTAGGGCCTCTATAGGAGTGATTGGAAGGGAAATTAAAGTCCTCCAAGACTTGATCATAGAGAGTGAAGGAGAAAGTATCAAGCACTCAGATTCAGCTTTCCAACCCTCAATACCTTTTGCTTTTCAGGCATAAGAAAAGCCGGAGACTAAGATCAATTATGAATCCATATTTTCCTCTCATCCAGGGGCAGTTATGTGTGAATGTGCAATTGCAATGGATTACAGTTTTCTCATAAAAGACATTTAAACTATGGTTGGTAATGAACTGCTTTGTTTATACGACATTTACATTGACCTATTCCTGTGGGTGCTTGTAAGAAAAAAATGCTTATAGCCTTTCAGGAATTTCTTTGTCTGGTTTATGGTGGAGTAACTTGAGATGAAGTCTAACCTTTCAGTGTCTTCTAAAACAGTCTCACAGAATTCTGTGGAAGGATTCTGTTCTTCATCCTTCTAAAAGGGCTAAAGCTGAGATTTCAGCTTAGGAAATTTGAATTATATATATTGGAAAATACCCTTAATCCAAGTGAACAATATCTTTCTTACTCTTTTATTCCCAAAATAAATATTACATTTCTACATTTTCTGCGGAATGGAAGCATTTTCCAGAGATCAGCAATGGAGGGAGGGGTTGGTTTCCTTAAAACTTTAATTTTTACTAAATTTAACTAATTTTTGACCTCTTTGTGATCAGGCCAAGAAATATGACACACACATTTTGGTTTATGTTTAAAGACCACAAGGGGTCAGGACCTCAGGATTGGGTGTGATCAGAAAAGTGGCATTTAGTAGAAAAGCAAGTTTACTCTTTCTCCCAAGCAGGGATCTCTTTGGCAGGGACACTTCTGGATTTTCATTATGTTCCCCTTTTGCATACCTTCCAGTCCTACACTTGCGTGATAGCCCGGGATGGTGCTGCAAAAGGTTTACATTCACTCGCCTGCTACACCTGGAGTTTTGACTCATTACTCTCAGTGGGTTAGCAGAATTATTTGTCTTTGAGAAATGGTGCTTACAAACTTTATTGTCTTTTATTCTTGATTTTGGAACACATGAAGATGAAGCAAGAACTCTTAAATTTGGAGATACGCTAGCGGAGCAAGCAACGTGTGTTGTGCTCTGGCATGAGAGCAACTACTGTGTTACTTATATTGATGCTTTCTGGAAGATAGCCTTACATATGTGAGATGCAGAACTCCTCAAGTCAAGATAGGCCAATCTCTCTAGTGCTTTAGGCGGAGGTGATATTGAAGTTAGGTCTGTAGATGTGATCTGTAAGTCTGGCTGCTCATACTCACTCATGTTGTGACTTTTGATTAGTCACTTTGAGCATGAGTTTGGGTTCTGTAGAGTGGGTTTTAGACTGCTTCAGGGGTGCTGTAAGCACTCATTTGGTAATGGCTTGTAAAAACAATCAATTTTCATTTAGCTTATTAGCAAGTGTCCATGGAAAAAAAAGCTTCCATTTAGTTTGCTCCCTCAAGCAATCACCTGTAAGTTTCCTTTGGAGTAAACTTTATGGGGTCTGATGACTAGATTGAAAATGTATGGTATTATGGTCAAGTACAGTATATACAAATATAGAGTATGTACAAATGTATCAACCAAAAAAAGGTTGCTTTTGGTGAAATAGAATATTGTGTGTCGGTAAAGAATTTAGTGCTGAATGAGCAATGACTTCTGTCTCACCTGTGCCTTTGCGAAAATTAGACGTTGATTACAAAGGTATAGAAGAGCTAGCTACAAGGAATGAAAGAAAATACTTTTCTCTTATAAAAGAGAGAAAATAAATTTCTTTTGTCATTTTTTGACCCAGATATCCAGGATTGTATTAAAATACCAATTTTTGTGATATCTATAATTATTTTTATCAGTTATATATTTTAACACATGTGGATAATGCCAGCTAAAGTAAGTCACTGCAGTAATTAGATGAGTTGTAATCATGCTTTAGAGAAATGCTTTGTATTTTATGTTCTTTCAGCTGCTTATGCCTCCTTATAGAATTATTGTATTTTTACATGAACTTCATAGTTCGTATCCTGACAAAGGGCATTATTGTGAAACTTTAGATTCAGCTGTTTGAAATAGAAGAAAGAGAGGGAAAGGAGAGGTGGCTTCTGTCTTTGACCCCCTCCAAGGAAAGCAAGGGTGAATATTTAAAGCTTCTCTGGGAACAGGCAAGATTGTGTGCAATTCTTTTTGATATTTTCCTTTTTCTGTGTTTGCTAACATTGTACCTCACCATCCTGGTATCTTTAAGTGTCTTGGAGGTAAGTGATAATTCAACTTCCAACATCCTGATTTTTACAGATGTAGAAACTGAGGGACAGAATGTTTCAGGGATTTACTTAAGGCAAGAAAACTGTTTAGTGACAAGGGTAGCACTAGAATGCAGGCCCCCTGAATTTTGCCTTGATCTGCAGTCTTTCATTTCTACTCTCAGGCACCCTTGAAAGTTCACCAGCCACGAGGACATCCTTATTAATGGTGTTTCTTATGGGATTTCTCTTAGAATTCTCCAGTAATCTGATGAAAACTTGGAGGACAACTTTTGCAAAAATAAATGATAAGCGACTAAATAAAAGCACGTACACAATTTGTCATATGGTTTCAGGGACTGACACACACCTCCCACTGAGGGCATCCTCAGACTTACAAACTCTTGCTCTGGGAGTTTACATTTTGCCTGTTTGTTTAGTTGGGTAGGTCTGTGGAGCTGTTTAGTCTAAGTAGGAGTTTTTTGAACCTTTCAATTTGGCCCTAAGGGGTTTAGGGAATAGACCGTGCATTGACTGAATAATAAGTTGAATTACATGCACTTACAGCAAAAAGAAAATATGTGCAAGGCAAGTAAAAATGCTAAATGCTTTTTTCTTTTCTTGCTCATTATCCCAAACTGTATTAACAGACACTTTGAGCAAGTTCATGATCCAGCAGTCAACCTTAGATGAATGTTTTCCTTCTCCAAAATGAAAGGTGGGAATTGCGATTCTCAGGTTTTAAATGTAACACATTACCGCCTTTCTCCCCACAGTTGTACAATAGCACAAAAGCATTTCTAAAATAAATCCAATTAGCACAGTTAAAAAATAAGGTAGAGCCAGCCCTATGGAAAATTATGAAATTGGCAAGTTTGTCTTCTGACACTGAGATTCTGGTTCTCTCCTCTCCTTCCTTTCTCACCTCTTTCTAAACCTGCTTTCTGGAGAGCACCTGAGAACCTCAATCACAAGGAATCCCTGAGTAAAGGTTGGGGTGTTATTTGCTACTTTTAGGGACATTTGTGCTATTACTGGATTTGGCCTAGCAAATGCAGGTTTCCGTGGAGTCTGTGACCTAAGCTAGGGGCCTGCAGGATTTTACTCTACAAATAATGGCTTGCTACTAAGGTTTGGGCAGGTCCTGCCTATTGGAGGCCACCTTTGGTCCCCCAACTGTGATGGCAGCTTTGGATGGCAAAAGGGGAGATGCTACACCTGCAGGTGTTGTTAGTTCTTTCTGTCAGAAGGCTTGAGGATCTGCCTTCCCAGAACACAGTGATAGAAACACCTGCCAATAATGACCTTTAATATGCCAGTGTCACAGCAGAAGTTGTGCTTGGTAGGGCCTGGCTGCTTTGCTCACAACCGTCTTGAAGGTATCTTCTCAGGCTATGTTGCTGGTGTGTAAACGGAGGCAAACAGTGGTAAG